GATGGACATCAGCACCGGAGTTCCTGTGGAAAAACGAAGAGCACTGGCCTGTGGATCTGAACTTACCTGTCCAACTGGACCAGAATGACGCAGAAGTGAAGCGACCTGCGATAGTTTCGGTCACAAGCACCTCAGAGAAGAACCCCACAGACAGACTTCTACTGCAGTACTCATCATGGTACCGACTGAAGCGAGCGGTGGCGTTCTTCCTGCGGCTGAGACGCCTCCTGAAGGCCAAGGCAGAGCGGGCGCTCTCGGCTCTGCAGACGAGGACAGCAGCACACGACGGGAGCAGATCGAGTGCCTCGAGTACATCGGCCAACGAAAAGAAGAAGCCGAACAAGAAGGGGACAGCTGCTCGCGCTGATCAGCCGACCACACCAGCTCTCCTGTCTGTGGAAGAAATTGACGACGCAGAGACGGCCGTGATCAGCTATGTTCAATCACAAAGCTACAAAGAAGAAATAAGCAGACTGAGAGGGATGCAAAATGTCAAGCGCTCCAGCCCGATAAGCCGCCTCGATCCCGTTCTAGACCAGAACGTGTTACGAGTCGGAGGGCGTCTCGGTCGGTCTACACAAGCATTTGAAAGGAAGCATCCGGCTATTATGCCGGCCAAGTCACACGTAACGGATCTCATCATCCAAGACGTGCATCAATCAGTGGGTCACCTAGGCCGTCAGCATGTCCTAGCTTCACTCAGAGAGAAGTTCTGGGTGGTGCGTGCAAACGCAGTTGTTCGGCGGGTCCTGTCCCGCTGTCTCACATGCCGACGACTTCAAGGAAGACCGCTGACGCAAAAGATGGCCGACCTGCCGGTGGATCGCGTTACGCCCGACCGGCCGCCGTTCACGTTCTCGGCGGTAGACCTGTTTGGCCCCCTGCTCGTGAAGAAGGGAAGAAGTATGGTCAAACGGTATGGCGTGCTGTTCACCTGTCTAACGACCCGAGCGGTTCACATTGAAGTGGCTCACACCCTCTCCACGGACTCGTTAATTAATGCCCTGCGCCGATTCGTATCCAGGAGGGGTCAAGCTGAAGAGATACGGTCGGACAATGGAACGAACCTCGTCGGGGCCGAAAGAGAGCTGCGTGAAGAGATAGACAAATGGAACCTGCAGCAGATCCATGAAGCAATGCTTCAGCATCACGTGAAGTGGAAGTTTAACCCACCTGGCGCTTCTCACCATGGTGGAGTATGGGAGCGACAGATTCGCTCTGTCAGGAAGATACTGAGCTCACTAGTGCTCAGTCAAGTCGTGGACGAAGAAGGCCTATCGACACTGCTGTGTGAAGTTGAGTCGATTCTCAATAGCCGTCCACTGACACCAGCGTCTGACGATCCACTGGATCTCGACCCTCTGACGCCCAACCATCTTCTTCTCCTTCGAGCCGGTCCTCGCCTACCGCCTGGTGCGTTTAGCGACAGCGACAACTACACCAGAAGAAGATGGCGGCAGGTTCAGCACCTGGCAACAGAGTTCTGGAGAAGATGGAGCCAAGAATATCTGCAGAGTCTGCAGCACAGGCAGAAGTGGACGAGGGAAGAAAGAAACCTACAAGTCGGAGACGTAGTTATCATCGCAGACAAGAACGCTCCTAGGAGCACATGGAGCATCGGGCGCGTGACACGCGTCTTTCCAGATGCGGGCGGAGCCGTTCGTGCGGCGGACGTGCAGACGAAAAGCACAGTGCTGAAGCGTCCGGTGACTAAGCTGGTTCTCCTCGCGGAAGCAGGAGAATAACAACCGTCGAAGCGAACACTAAGTGACGCTCGGGCTAACGTGCGCCGACGGGGGCGGGGGTGTAGATGCCGTTTCTATGTCGGCGGCGTCATTCGTGACGGGCACGAGCTACACCAAATAAAATTTTGCTGAAGTAGAAAGGTAGGACAGAAATAATTTTGAACAAGTAAAATAGGCTTAGTAGAAGGGTTTTGAAAATAAGTATCGAAACCGCACGACAAGGAAAGAAGAAGTTAAGCGATATTTAAGTTTACGTGGTGTAGAATAAGATAAGCCTTTCATGTAGCCGCGGACCAAAAATCGCTTTTGACGTTGAGATTGTGTGCGTGAAAGAAGAAGAACCTGTGAGAAAGACGGTGATAAGAACCGGTGTGAAGTGTGCTGTTTTGTGCCTGAGTTTATATTTTATTTTATTACCGAAATATTACGACATCCCGATCAACTTTAGTTTGAAATAAATCAGAGTAAAATCACTCAGCTCAAGCCACCCGTAAAGCATTATCCAGCGCCTACAGTAACGGCTATAGCAGCGTGCCATGAAACAGAGCCCTGACTTCAACTGGCTGCAGCTGCTCCCACCAACCGCAGATCACCCCCGTGATTCTCACTTCTCGAGAGCCGGAGCGACTCGAATCCGGGCTGTCTACCGGGAGTCCAACGCTCTTCCCATTGAGCTACTGAAAGGATATTTAAGTTACGAATAAATCAAGCATGTGAGGATCACGATAAAAAAGGCCGATGATAACGGGGATGTGTGGTATTACACAATCACGTTTCGCCTCAGTTACGGACTTCGGTGTCCAGGCAAGCTCTGTCGATTGGCCACGATGACTTTATTGGGCTCAGATCAGTGAACGACAGCAACTAAACCAGATCCTAAGAAGTCGATATCATTTCACGTTTAATTTTGAATGAGGTAAGTGTTGCTTAGTCTCGCAGCTTATTTATGATTATCGTATCGTTTTCCACCCGGCGTGTATCGCGCTGTCTTCATCAGCGGCGCCGTGGTGCCACTGTAGACAGGGCGCCGTGGCGGCCCGACCTCGACCGTCCACCGCCTGGGAGCGACGCCAGCTGTCCCTCCTCTCGCTCACTTCGCCAGCTCCGGAGCCGACAGCGGCGGTCACTCGCGCGCGCCGCTTTACAAAACGAGCGAAACTTGGCACCGCGCGCGGCCTAATGGTGATAAAATGGCCGCCGTTAGGAGAGCGGCCGATTCACGATGCCGCCAAACGGATGTGATTTAACCAAGTCTGGTGCAGCTGACTTCTACATTGTAGATACTAAAATTGACTGCTTCAAAATGAAGTGACGATTTTTTCAATTCACTTAAGTTCAGAAATACTAAAACAAAAAGCTTCCGCCATCCATGATGTTCAAAGAAGAAAAGCGAAATATAATGTTAACAACAGTACGTGATAGGCATTTTTGGGAAAACTGCTTAGGCAAAAAATGAACTATGAGTTAAACAGTATTCTTGGATACCTCACACGCTCTTATCAACCACAAAGAGGTATGATTTTATATTTGCTTGCCTCCGAAACATGCCTATCCATAAACTGTTTAAGAAACTTTGGCGAAACAATAGGCCTGAATTCTAAAACCACCCATAAATGTTTGCATCTAGTTTCTTATGCCGCAACAGCCGGTTATGTATAAACGTTTGGTATATGGTTATCAGAAGCCTTTTGTAATCTCACTCAATAATGTTCCGCTCGTAATTCTTAGCGACTAAACCAATTTCATCGCTCCAAGTCCCTTAGAATTGCTTCGCAAGTTTAGAATCAAGTAAAGAATCTTCCTTTATACTTTTGACTCTCTTTCGATTGCCGTTTACCACGTTTCGCTACGTGAACCAGGAGCCGAGTTAGACGGGGGGCGTGAAAACGCCCCCCCCCCCCAGCACTCGGCGGAAAGTTCAGGCCACCAGCACGGCGCGGGTGACTATCTCAGGCCCATTCAAAATAAGTCACAACTTTTCCAGACTTTTTGATACGCACTTGTACGAAAAAAAGAATATGCACCAAAGCTGCGAGCAAATGAGCGCTAGGCAGTATTTTTTCTTGCACAAAGCACTACAGAATAGTCTCTGAAACTAATCGTGTCAAACATAACCAACCGTTGAAAAGATAATGGCTAAAGGAATAAGCTCACCAGTACACCCTGTGGCAGCTGCTACACGAACTACCGTCGACCAATCGTCACCACATGGCGGTGGTACGACAGTGGCCTGTCCTGCACATTATGGTAATTACAAAACAGCCGGTGGAATTTTGCTTACCCGCTAGTAAAACAAAGGACTAGCCAAGAGACAAATTTATACCACGTAACAGATGCACGACAACCGCTGATATCTCTAACATGCGACAGTTCAACGACGATCGTTGAACAACCACGATGTGATTGTTGTACGACAATCCCATTCCCTATAGGTCGTTTTGAGATCTCCGGCTGTAGTGACGCTTTTGCAACAGTGGCTTGACCAACGCTGGCCGTCGCACGGCCTTTGCCTGTTGTGGTATAATTGTGCAGCAGTTATTCGACCTTCAACAAGCGATCGTTGCACTATGGTGACTGGATTTCTACCACGTGACAACCGTATGATTGACGCACTATTCAGTGACGATAAATGCAGTGAACGTTCACTGGAGGACGGCTGTCCGACAATAGTCGAATCCCCACCATAGGACCGTCCGCGCGGCGGGAGGCTGGCTATTGATATTGATCCGCCTGACGTCAGAAGAAGACAGAGAGTAACACCAGCTCGTGGCACGTGATGCGTCCATCTGATTTGTCACGAGTAGGTATAATATTAGCCGCGGCCACAGGAGGCTGGAGCTGCGCGGTCGCGTGCATGGGCAATAACAAGGCAAAATAGGTTACTGAGACATAATACGAACACAAAAATAGCTCCGCAGTCACCATCATTTTAGCAGATTCTTACATCTTCGCACCAAGAGGAAGGTGTAAATCAAAGCAACATTTCTGTGTGGAGTCTCCAATGATAACTTACATAAGCGCAACTCGCAAGCCATAAATCCCAAAACTCACAATGACTGGCTATACCATACGGTGTGAACACGCGTATCTTCATTTCTTCGGAACTCGTGTCGAAACTTCCTCGTTACTAGGGAGCTCCGTCCCTTGTCGCGCATCTAACACCTGGAGGCGGACCACGAGCGTAATCGCTCTGTCCACAGTGTGGTCGACTACAAGTCGCGGTGCGCCGCAGCGGTCTCCCAGTCGCCCTGCCCGGGTCGCGCGATGCAGACCTCTATACTCCTGTTGCCGCTGGTGCCGCTGCTGGCCGCCGCCGGCCCGCTGCCGCCGCCGGCCGGCGTCCCCGACACCCTGCGGCTGGTGCACGTGCTGTACCGACACGGCGCGCGCAGTCCCGTCATTGACTACCCAACCGACCCAAACCCGGACCCGTGGCCGATCGGACTGGGCCAGCTCACCAACGAGGGCAAGCAGAACCAACTCGAGCTGGGCCGCTTCCTGCGCGGCCGCTACGACGGCTTTCTGCCGGAGCTGTACCACATGAACTACACCCGCGTGGAGGCCACGGACGTGGACCGGTGTCTGATGTCGGCGCAGGCCAACCTGGCCGGCCTCTTCCCGCCGCAGGGGGAGGACGTCTGGGACGCCGAGATCGCCTGGCAGCCGATCCCCGTGCACACCGTGCCGGTCGAGGACGACCTCAAGCTGAAGACCTACAAGGTCTCGTGCCCGGTGTACCTGCAGGAGCGGGACCGGGTGTTCGCCTCTGACGAGATGGCGGCGATCGACGCCGACAACAGCGCGCTGTACGCCTACCTGAGCGAGTACAGCGGGTTGGACGTCAGCAGCGTGGACTCCGCCGGAGACCTGTACGACACGCTGTGGATCGACGACGGCCACAACCGGACGGTGCCCGAGTGGGCGCGCGCCGTGCCGCCGGGCTGCGCGGCGCCGGCCTTCCCGGACCTGCTGCGGCCGCTGCGGGACCTGCAGTTCGCCCTGTACGGCGTCACGCCGCTCCTGCGCCGGCTCGGCGGCGGGCCCCTGCTCAAGGACATGCTGGAGCACATGCAGGATAGCGTGGACGGCCGCCTCGAGCCGCCCAGCAGGAAGCTGTTTGCCTACTCGGGCCACGACAACAACGTGGCCTGTCTGCTCACCACACTCGGGGTAGGCTGTTCAAAGCTCACTGAATCGCTCACCATGGGAAAAGCTCACTGAATTCGGCGCTCACCACATTTTCAAGAGCCGTCCGCTCACCAGTTGCTAGAATCTCATTTCTTGTTTCTGACTCTCATTTCTCATCCCTACGCACCTCTCATGATGGTTATATAATGTGCCTTATGTTCGTCAGGTTTTATCCCAAACGGTAATTTTCCTTAACTGAGTTTAAGTCTTTTATCATTCTTTACTGGATGTGTAGTATTTACAACACGGGGTTAAAGGTAGTGTGCCACCTTCGAATGATTTCCCATTTTATTTTTCCTAGGATAAGAAGCTTCTGTTTTTACCTAATATCGCAAAAAAATCAAAAATGGGCCTAAAATAGTGCTTTTTTCGCCTAAAAGTTTATCGGTTTTTCGATATGTATAACAACTGTAGTGGGCTGACCTGCAAACAGGCGTCGGCAACAATCACGAATGCGGCGCACGTGTGACAATAAGCAAAGGTCAGTATAGAGTTACAACGTACGGGAATGAGTTATCAGCTGTCTAATCGTACACAACACAATGTCGAATTTAAACTGTAAGCCTGTATCGGTATTGTTTCTTTAATTTGGCTGTCGAACATTAATTTATGGTTTGAAATATTATTTTATGTAAAATAATTGATATGAAACAGCCGTCTCTAAAGTTATGACTCCATCTCACCACATGAAAGTGGCAGAAATGACAATGATCAGCTGACGCATTTTTCTTGGCCGAAGTCAGAGCGCGCGGCCCGACGCACCACCACCGCACCACAAAGTATGAGCAGAAGCCGCGCCCAAAGCCAGGGCCCCGGTAACGTGAGGTAGCCGAGTCGGGGCAGCGTGCGCTGACCCAAGCCGTGGCCGCGGCTTTGGGCGCGGTCTACCGCATCCCCGCGGGCAGCCCCAGGCTATCACATGACACCGGGAGGACGCACGGCCCCGGCTTGGGTCAGCGCACGCTGCCCCGACTCGGCTACCTCACGTTACCGGGGCCCTGGCTTTGGGCGCGGTCTACCGCACCACCTAACAGGCGTGTTCGAAACCGCATGAGATGATGAACGGGTTTATCGAAACTTGATTGGATTAGCCTATCGGTAATAGCGATTTCAGTGTGTGCATTTATTGTTCATAGTGGTGTGAAATGTGGTTGGGGTACGACCGACAACCCGTCGGGGCGAATTTCGCACTGGGGTACTCAAAATTTGAAGAATTTAAGACGTTTCCATGAGTTTTGAAGGTATGGATAAGTTCTAAAAATCCGGTTCTCGTTATCTAGGCCATTAACTCCATACGGTCCAGGAAAGCTGGCACACTACCTTTAAAGGTAGTGTGCCACCTTTGAAAGATTTCCCGTTTTATTTTTCCTAGGATAAGAAGCTTCTGTTTTTACCTAATATCGCAAAAAAAAATCAAAAATGGGCCTGGAATAGTGCCTTTTTCGCCTAAAAGTTTATCGGTTTTTAGATATGTATAACAACTGTAGTGGGCTCACCTGCAAACAGGCGTCGGGCAACAATCGCGAATGCGGCGCACTTGTGACAATAAGCAAAGGTCATTATAGTGTTACGACCATACGACGTACGGGAATGAGTTATCAGCTGTCTAATCGTAGACAACACAATGTCGAGCCTTAAACTGTAAGCCTGTATTGGTATTGTTTCTTAAATTTGGCTGTCGAACATTAATTTGTGGTTTGAAATATGATTTTATGTAAAATAATTGATATGAAACAGCCGTCTTATAAGTTATGACCCCATTTCACCACACGCAAGTGGCAGAAATGACAATGATCAGCTGACGCATTTTTCTTGGCCGAAGTCAGAGCGCGCGGCCCGACGCACCACGCGTATTTGGAAATTCCGACCTCGACGAGCATCAGAAGCCACCTAACAGGCGTGTTCGAAACCGCAGGAGATGATGATGAACGGGTTTATCGAAACTTGATTGGATGAGCATATCGGTAATAGCGTTTTCAGTGTGTGCATTTATTGTTCATAGTGGTGTGAAATGTGGTTGGGGTACGACCGACAACCCGTCGGGGCGAATTTCGCACTGGGGTACTCAAAATTTGAAGAATTTAAGACGTTTCCATAAGTTTTGAAGGTATGGATAAGTTCTAAAAATCCGGTTCTCCTTATCCGGGTCATTAACTCCATATGGTCCAAGAAAGCTGGCACACTACCTTTAAAGCAGTTTCTTCTGCACCTCCAAAGATTTTGCTTTAATTGGTTGTTTTCAGCATTACCCAATGGGCTGCTCCAAACGTTATCACAGTCGGCCTCCGTCCGCCAGCTTCCCACACCCTGAGCCGCTGCTTCCGATCGCCACTGACATCCCCCTCTATCTCCACCCCATCAGCTCTACAACGGCCTGGCGCCGCCGCTGGCCTGCGCCGTGCTGGTGGAGCTGCACGAGGAGCCCGAGGTCGGTCCCACCGTGCAGCTGTTCTACCGGAACGACACCACCGCCGAGCCGTACCCGCTGCAGCTGCCCGGCTGCCAGCTCAGCTGCCCGTGGGACAGCTTCGTCCAGCTCACCGCAGACGTGGTGCCCGGCGACGTGCGCGCCGAGTGTGGCCTGTAGGACGGGCCGAGTGTGGTCTAAAGGACGGGCCGAGTGTGGTCTAAAGGACGGGCCGAGTGTGGCCTGTGGGACAGGTCGAGTGTGGTCTTAAGGACGGGCCGAGTGTGGCCTGTAGGACGGGCCGAGTGTGGCCTGTGGGACAGGTCGAGTGTGGTCTTAAGGACGGGCCGAGTGTGGTCTAAAGGACGGGCCGAGTGTGGCCTGTGGGACAGGTCGAGTGTGGTCTTAAGGACGGGCCGAGTGTGGCCTGTAGGACGGGCCGAGTGTAGTCTGTAGGACGGACCGAGGATGGGCCGAGTGTGGCCTGTAGGACGAGCTGAGTAAGGTCTGTAGGACGGGCCGAGTGTGGCCTGTGGGACAGGTCGAGTGTGGTCTAGACGGGCCGAGTGTAGTCTGTGGGACGGGCCGAGTGTGGTCTGTAGGACGGGCCGGGTGTGGCCTGAAGGACGGGCCGGGTGTGGCCTGTAGGACGGGCCGGGTGTGACCTGTAGGACGGGCCGAGTGTGGTCTGTAGGACAGGTCGAGTGTGGTCTAAAGGACGGGCCGAGTGTGGCCTGTAGGACGGGCCGAGTGTGGTCTGTAGGACGGGCCGACCGAGTGTGGTCTAAAGGACGGGCCGAGGACGGACCGAGTGTGGTCTGTGGGACGAGCTGAGTGGGGCCTGTATAGGACGGGCCGAGTGTGGCCTGTAAGAGTGTGGTTTGCAGGATCGCGGGCGCCAAGATTGTGGTCTGTATATTGCACAGAAGGGGCCGAGAGAGGTCTGCTGTGTGCGCTGAATGTGGCTTGTATTGTGCGCGGCGAGTGTGGTCGTTTAGCACGTGGACCACACTGGCGGACAGGCAGTGTGGTCTGACTGGACGGATCGAGACAGGGTGACCTCTAAAATGGCGAGATAAGCCTTGATGACAGGCCAGAAGGAGAAGAGAGGCAGAACTGCAAGCAATTAATTGTTTTTGGGGATACCAATCACCATTGACCATTGTCGCCAAATCGGCATTAATTACGATTTTTCATTTTTCATATTTCAGCTTCATCCTATTTATATTTTTTTCTCATATTTTACTTACTTCGGAAGCAATAACCATTGACAAAAAATGTGTAAAAATGTTCGGGATATGTATCATCTCTCCTTTTCAACAAAAAGGGCATGATCAAGCCAAATAAAAGAAAATAAGCTGTGATCATTTTGCGCGAGAAAAGTAGGTTGAAGTGAAGTAACTTACCGATCAGTCGATGTCCTTTCATTCGCAAAAAGAAATGAAATAAAGACAGCGACAAGAGGATAAAGGGAAAATATTCAAATTATTTGTCAGAAATTCCTACTTACATGTAATTCGAATCACGAAAAAAATCCCCAGTAAATTTTATTCGAAACCCCTTAAAGGAAATTGCCGAGTGCCGAGTGCCGAGCATTCTATTATCTTGTTTGTGAGGAAAAGCGCAGCATTTTTATCGCGCGCGAATTCTCGTGATCAAAAACCCGAGAATGAGTGATTTGGAGGAAAAATAGAGGCTCGAGGGAGATTACGGACTTAAAATCGTATTCTAATTATAAGCAGTTTCGAAGCTTGAGTTGAGGCTAGCACAAATCAGGAGCTTTTACATCCCAGCGATCACACTAGACAAAGATATTCTCGTTCTGAAAAATTCCCTCGTTCATTTCTCGTTCTGAAAAAAAATCCCCTGTAGAGAAATGTTTCCCTTGTAGAGGAATGCAGCCACGTTATCGTCAGCCAATCAGCATGCTGCTTACAGCCAATGCAGCATGCGTAGGTTTGAACTGCGCAAGATGATTGGTCAACGGCCTACGCGTAAAAAGCTTCCATGCCAAACAGTATTTTATATAGAAAATAGTTCTTCCTTTATTAAAATATAGAAAAAATCCATTGTATAAAAAGGTTTCATTTTAGTTTCTGATCATTTTGAGCATGAAAAATCATAAATCAATTGTACAAACTAATTTCAGGGAAGTGAACTTTTAGTTGCTGCTGCTGATGGGGACTATTTCCTTCAGTGCATGACTGATGAAATGCATAAGAAATGGCATAGTATGACAAAAAGATAATTGACTAACTTATCAAAGGAACCCATAAATAGGGGAGAGTGGGGCAATGGCGGACGGTGGGTAATGCCGGCCACCCATCTCTAGTGAGTACTTTGGCCATCACTAACCAGCTGATGTTGTTTACATTTCAGTTGAGCGCCATTCTAGCACGTGGTGCAAGTTTGTCACGGTAGCTCCATTATTTTCATTTTTATAGCGTTAAATGTGTTTTTCGTATCTGATTTTTAATTTTTGTTGCATCTATTTGCTGACTGTGAAATGTGTTAACGCATTTTCAGAAGTGCTGCTTTGCAATGACCTTCAATTAAGCCTTTCTTAGGCGACTGCTGGATGTGAGGCGTTTGCGGCGCAATGCCTTTGACTGCTGCCTGCTTTCTTAAAATAAAGCTGACCTCGGGGTAATACCGGACACGTGTCCGGAATGACTCCACGCGGTTTTGTTTGCGACTTCTGTCGTTAACGCTCAACGTTTCGGGTTGCTGTGTTTACGGCTGTGTTAGTTTGCTTGCTGTGTTTACGGTTGTGTAAGTTTGCTGCTCTGTTGGCGCCGCGCTGTTGTGTTGCAGCGAGTGCAGTGATGTGTTGCAGTGCAGTGTACTGTTAACTGCTGAATACAGTTGTCGTTTCTTAATTCTCACTTACATTTCCATCGAAAGAACGGTTTAAGGATGAATACCAGTGACGATATTTCGACTTTTGTGCTATTGCACTTAGTGGCCGGCATTACCCCTCGCTTTTTTGCACCTCCATTTTTCACCACATTTTTGCGTAGGCTCTGAATCTGTCATCAGTGATCTGAGATACTAAAACTGGGTGCTATCTGAAAGCCTATTCCTTTGGCTACAACCACAGTCAAAATCACCATAAAATAGCTTCAAATAGCTAAGCTATTGAGCAAAATGCTTATGGTGTCGCCATTGCCCCACTCTCCCCTATGTTGGAATCGCATCGAAAATACCTCGAACCACAATGAGGGGCGAGGGCACCATCACAAGCCAAAAGAACTACGCATTTCCCGGGGATCACGTGTCGCGAGGGTGTCTGTGTAACAAAGTCAACAATAGAACGGCACAAAGGAGCACGCCACATCATTAGTGATGAACCGGACAGACTATGGGCATTATTTGATTATGCGCACGTCACGTCTGTACGGAATTATGCCTACTGAGGAGCCTATAATTGTCGTGTAAAGATGACAATAATGAATCAATAGACAGAGTGATCAGCACTTTGATGGAATGTGAAGCTAAATACAGGGAAAAAAAACAACGAAAACACACTAAGTGACCTGTAGGAAATACAGCTATTTAACAGACATGAATCCATGATAGATAATGAACAAAAACCCCAGTGCGATGCGATAAGTAAATGTCATTGGTCCGCAGCCTTATGAGTAATAAGCAAATAATTGATTACAGATGGCTGGTGACCTTTGTCTTTGAAACTTATTATCTACGAACATTAACTTTGAACTTTTTGTCGCATTACTGGTCACCAATATTGACACTTAAGTACATTCGGTACCTATCCGTGTCCCGAAAACATACTGTTACGAAATAAGTAAGCGAAGTGTTCATGAAAATTTGAGACACGATTGATGACGGCACCTTTCAATGGGGTTTAATTACATTTTAACTCCATCCCAAAGGGTTTGACTGTCACGATCAAATTGGTATGAATAATAAAACTGTACAATTTCTCGAAAACCTTTAGTGATAGGCTAGCCAAGTACTTCGAGTTGGATTGGCGACGGGTTAACGTCATCGTCATCTACGGTAACAATATACTATGGTCATTTTCAATGGCCATTATCTTGACGCACAAGCTTAAGACCACCATAAGCCGTGTTGCCTGTCAGTGGTACGGTGCTGTGTACTTATCTGGGCTATGATGGCAGCTTGCCAAGTCAGAGGAGTACCGGCTCTCACCATACAGATCCTGACGCCCCCGACTTGTCGGGATGGCTCATTCTACGGTTAATGTTTCTTCCTGATGTGAGCGTTAGTCTTTGCCGCTGTGGAGACTGGTTTCTGGGCGATGACATTCGACACAGCGGTGGTAAATGCATGCTGGATATGAAGTCATAAAAATGCGTTTACGGGAAGGTTGACCCGTCCCCAAAAACCACTTGTGGAAAAGTTAACTCGTATCGAAGTCCTACACAAAAGGGCTGACCCGCAACCAACTACGTCACTGAACGTCCACTGAGAAGCGTTGGCCAAGGTCACTTGATTGACCCGCCTTTTCCAAAACAAAAGGGCCCACAAAAGGCTGCTGACTCGCCCATTCAATCAACTCTCAGTATGGGCAACCCGTCCCACACCCAGCCACTCACTGAGCGGGTGGATGAAGAAGAACGGGAACCAGCAGAGCAGGAAGACGCCCACCACGATGCCCAGCGTCTTGGCCGCCCTGGTCTGCACGCGGAACTTGCTCTGCAGCCGACTGCCGACGGCGCTGCGCTCCAGGTCGGTGCAGCGCGTCTCGTCGGCGGCACTGCAGCCGCTGTCGTCCGACGGCCGCCGGCCGCCGCGGTGCACGCGCAGGGCCACCTGCGAGTCGGTCACCTTGAGGCCGTTCTGCCAGCAGCGCGTCTCGCGCACCACGGCCCGGTAGATGCGCCAGTAGACGCACAGGATGACCAGCATCGGCAGGTAGAACGAGCCGAGCACCGAGAACAGCACGTAGCCCACCTCGCCGTTGACGGTGCAGCGCTGTCCGGAGGCGTCGGGCGGGCCGCGCCAGCCCACCAGCGGACCGATACTGATGGCCAGCGAGACGGCCCACACCAGGCCGTTGAGCGCCATCGTGCGCCGGCCGCTCATAATGTGCGCGTGGCCGAGCGGACGCGTCACGCCGATGTACCGGTCCACGGAGATGACGCACAGGGAGAGGATGCTAGCCGTGCAGCAGAGCACGTCAGCGGCCGCCCAGACGGCGCAGAACGCCGCGCCAAAGTACCACCGGCCCGACACCTCCAGCACGGCCGAGAAGGGCAGCACGGCCAGGCCGAGCAGCAGGTCGGCCACGGCCAGACTGCCGATCAGGTAGGCGGTGCTGTCGCGCAGCGAGCGGCTGCGCACCAGCGCCAGCAGCACCAGCGTGTTGCCGCTGATGGTGAGCGCCACCACCAGGCCGAGCAGCACCGACTTGGCCACGGACAGACAGAGCGCCGGGCCGGCGGATACCGCCGCCTCCTCCAGCGGTGGCGGCAGGGAGGCGTTCAGCGCCGCCCAGCTGGCCGTGCTCCACTCCATCCCCGACCTATCGGCCGCTGCCGCCGCCGGACGTCAGCTCATACAGAGCAGTGGTGTGGCCTGTGGACAGACAGAGGGACAGACGTGTCACCTCGCCGCCACATGGAGATGTGGTCAACTCATCTGCAAGGGATACGTGCCCTTGATGTAGTACATTGCTTAGATTTTATGACATGCTTTTCATTAGAAGTACGCTTAGGGAAAAGGAACCACAAATAGCACTCAAAATTTTCTTCTGTAGGACCTGACTTGTGCGACATTTAAGGACATTTAACAGCACTTAAGCCCGCTTAGGTATGATCATCAAGTAAAGCCAAACTAAACAGTAACAGTAAACAGTAACAGTATCCAGCAAGTGAATAAAAGGGATAAGGCGTACACCCTCCCCGAAACCACCATCTATGCGTCATAAGGCCCTCGGCAGGTGTTTCCAATACATCGAGGGATACCACTCTTTGGTTTGCTTCACCTTCCCTTTAATATTTAAGGATATTATACGGGTTATCGGGCGGTTCATTGGCAGTTTGTGTACACTCAGTGCATCCAGTCAGTCACGCAGCCTCTCGCACGGCCGGATATCATAGCAGTGGCGGCGATAGGCGGCGCGTTATTTGCGCCGGGTTCGCCACGCTGGTCAATCCTCTCTGTCAATATTGGCCTCTGGCCGATCCGGCTCCTCCCAGCGCGCGGCGCCGGCCGCCACGGCGACTGTTGTCCCATTCAGCCGCGGCCGACACCCTGAGAGAGACACAGCTCGGACCGACACACCTGACAACAGCTCGGACCGACACACCACCCGACACACCTGACAACAGGCGGAACGACACACCTGACAACAGGCGGGCCGACACACCACCCGACACACCTGACAACAGGCGGGCCGACACACCACCCGACACACCTGACAACAGGCGGGTGGACACAGACGACATGCCTAACAGGCGGGCCGACACACCACCCGACACACCTGACAACAGGCGGGTGGACACACCACCCGACACACCTGACAACAGGCGGGCCGACACACCACCCGACACACCTGACAACAGGCGGGCCGACACACCACCCGACACACCTGACAACAGGCGGGCCGACACACCACCCGACACACCTGACAACAGGCGGGCCGACACACCACCCGACACACCTGACAATAGGTGGGCCGACACACCATCCGACACACCTAACAACAGGCGGGCCGACACACCACCCGATACACCTGACAACAGGCAGAACGACACACCTGACAACAGGCGGGAGGACACACCACCCGACACACCTGACAACAGGCAGAACGACACACCTGACAACAGGCGGGAGGACACACCACCCGACACACCTGACGCGTGACAACAGCCGGCTGACAGGCGTGACACACGTGACAACAGGAGAGCTTCAGCACCGCGGCAGACACCCTAGGACCAACACATCGTGGGCCGACACATCTGACAACAGGCGGGCAGACACACCTGACAACAGGCACCCCCGAGTCCCGACAACATAAGGCCTTTGTCGGGACTGACACAAACCCGACACACCTGACAACAGGCGAGCCGACATCCTGGGAGAGACACAGTGCAGGCCGACACATCTGACAACAGGTAGGTACTCCCGAGTCCCGACAACGCACGGGCGAGGCGACACAACTGACAACTGACAGGCTGACACAACTGACAAGCGGGTCAGGCTGTGATGCTGCTGGTCCCATGTATTGGGCTCGTAGCGTTGTGGGGTGGGGGTGGGGATATTTATCCACTCCAGTCTACATATGCCGATCCGTGAATCTAAGCGGATTTTGAGTGGCTCCAGGATCAGAAATACCAGTTTCATGAAATACCCTGTTCTGACACGCCTGGCATAAGCCCGATGCTGTTAAAAACAGATTAGGTATATTCATTCGTCCACGACTAATCGGCTTGGTAATGAGCCTGTCTTCTAACTAATTGGGTGAGTATGGATCCAACTAACGCTCATTTTGGAGAAGCATTGGTGATAAAAAACTTATAGTTCGTTTTTTTTTCAAAAGGACTCTGGCTCCAAGTATGTTTTTCGAAAAAGCACGCGTTTTAGCGAGCAAAACGAGCAAAAACTGAACTTGAGAAACTCGAGCGTCGCCTTATTTTAACATGTGAATTATTCCCGATAATTTCCATATGTGCGTTTTGGAACCAGATTTGAGAACAGTGGTGACGTAATGCTGTCGAACTTGTTTTGCAATGTAGCGTATAACTATCATGGACGAAACCGCTTACTCGATTATAACCTCGGCAACAGTGAAAAACGAAGTTTCCCCCAAATTCGTCGAAACTTTGTCCCATCGTACGGACATTAAGTGCCTGCTGCCGCCAGTGACGTCATCATAGTATGCTAATTTTTCAAGACACAATTTCCAGGTACTTACCGTGCACAATTTGAAATCGAATATTTTTTCGGTAAGAAATTCTTGTCCAGACGCTGAAGCTGCCAAAACTCACGTGAGAGCTTCGATAAGGAACTTGGAGCCAGCGTCCTTTTGAAAAAAAACGAACTATATTATCTATCGTTTTTAAAATGAGCTGACAACCCGTGACAGAGAGATACCGCCGAAATTGAGAAACAAATAGAGCAGCACATTCAAATGTAGGCACGATTGGTACAGTCAGTCTTGAAAGAACCGCACCGATGCGCGTTTTTTTTTTAGACTGACTGTATACCTTAGCGTCAATTACTTGTAGGTAACCTGAGCTATTCAGTGCCCCTACCGCCGACCACGCCCACTGGCTCCGGCATCGCCATCAAAATCAGACTCATTGGCGGATTCACGATTCGCGACTGTTGGCTCATTTGGAAATTGGAATGACCGTTTATTATTTCCCAGGCACGCCTGCTACTGGTGACGACAGCCCACGCCCTTGAGTGATCATCCCTACCGACATTTGTGAATCTCCGCGCCAGTCTTATCACTACGACATTAGTCCCAGACCGATTTCAGCTGCCGGGCTAACGCCTTCCAGCGCTCCGGGGCGCTGGATTTGATAAATGAACGCTGTTGCACGGGGATACGTCCAAGGCGAAGTGATATATGGCACCGAAAAAGCAGAGTTGATCCTTTCATGATTAGTGTGGGCGCGGAGATTGCATCAAGAATGCGCCAGATCACAGAAACAAACTAATCATACTCTTATCTTAAACATATAAAAAGTATTCGTAAACGACGGATAGTGATTTATGCTCACCATCAGCATTTATCAATGACTTTTTTATTTCACATTGAAGGGCACATCCACCGAAAGCGGCGGCTATTCTATGCCACGAGTCATTAAATGATGAAGGGATGACAGCACACATGCAAACATACTCGCACATTATACACTTATCATAACACAGCACACGCACACGAGATCACTTACGCTGTCCGACTGCATCGTTGAAATTACACACAATTTATCAAACTTCTTGTTAGCGGCAAGAAACTGTTAACTGTTGAATAAATCCGAAATTATTACACGCACATTCTTTGACGATTTCGACGGTCTCCTCTACAACACATATTTCGTGAATTGATGCAGCAGCTATGGATGGCAATGATCATATACGAAAAATATCTTAAAATAAGATTTTTTTTAAAAACCTGTGACAACTAATCGGCCAACATGACTGGCAATTTCGCATTATCGAGGTGGGATGACTCGTAGACCTAAAATTAAGAGCGCAGTCCGACCTAACTACCTGCCATTTCCCTCAGTAAGTATATATGACGCATGCAAATATGACGTTTTGGGCACACTGTTTCTTTCGGTGAGACAAGTTGAATGTTCAAATTAAAAACACATATTTCTGATAAAGCCCATGTTAGCCGTTTTCACGACGGGCTATCTGTGGAATGCACCTAATTCTCAGCAAATCTGCATCTAGTCTCTTTGTTAACAAATATCTTCATATATTGAGTTTATTTCGGTGTTTTAATCGATGATTATGTCTAATGATATGACAAGGCAGGTACACAAGCAATTAGTGCAACCCTAGCTGATAGCTACTAAGAAATACACTGAACCTAATTTGATCAAACCATCACCTAAGCTGCACCTAATATACACCAAATGTGTACCAGATGGCCATCGTGAAAACGCCTATTGCCCGGTTGGGTGGCATATCTCGGAGTCACATTAGGCGCTCCCAAATATGGACACGATTTGACTTGGCATAAAAGCTCAACAGCGAACAATTCGCCAGAGCTTTGCTAGAATACAAAAGGCGTGACTTTATCACCGCCATGCGTCCACGTCTGACTTTGACATTTGCCTGGCATGCGTTCGGCACAACATCTCAGCCACGACACAACCGAATCTGACGTCAAAGCGACTCCAACGAAATCGAGCTCACCCTCCCGCTCGCGGCTACTCTTGGGAACGGAGCCATCCGTGGCTTTTCTTCTGTAGACCGCTCCAGTAACGGCGGATTGTCGTCAGCGACACCGGACTATTTTTCAAACTGTTTCATTTTTCTCGCCAAATGGCAGGATTTTCCAGGCAGTTTTCTTCATCGTGATTGTGGACAGGGGCGTAATCACTCCTTAAAAAATGGGCTGGAAATAACTCCCTCCGGGGGCGGCATCAAATGCGAAGGGAAGGGCGGCACTCATATTTTGGGAGCCAGAGGTGAGTGTTTGAGGGCCGTTGTGTTTGTGTATTAACCTCGCCCGCATCGGGGGGGGGGGGGGGGTCGAACGGACCACCCCTCGGTTTTTCGCGGATAACTCGCGTAAAAAGCGGCCGATCGCGACGAAACTTTCAGTACCCTCGCGTTAATGAAGTTTACACCTGCCCTGAAAATTTCATGACCCTGACCCTAATGACCTTTGACCCACTTTTCGACACCATGTTTGGCAGGAATTGCGATTCGGCGTATGTCGGCTCGCATAAGCCGCGCGTTTGCGGTCTTTCGTGGTTTCATGCGTTCAGACATGGGATATGATGGTGCTTCCATGCATAAGAGTGGGTGTCAAGGTCACCGGAAGGTCAGGTAGGCCAATAGGTAGGGGTATTCCGATCAAAATGAGGGCGCCAGTAGG